GTGACACTCACTACTAGATTGACCTGTGTGTATAATTGTACCGTATTTCATATTGTACTGGTCGTGTACAATAAACCTTTCTTCTATTATCCACCTGGTGTTAAGTATTTATTCCCTTAGCACAGAATATAACAAATCTTTAATTTGAACAAAACTAAGATAACAGATTATAAGGAATTGAATTTTGTCATTCATCTTTTCTTACCAATCATAAACTAAATACAGGGTGTTTTGGTACAGTGTGATGTGGTGTGGTAGAATGCAAGGAAGGAGACCCGTCGGGTGGTCACAGCTATGGTACTGTGATGTCGTGAGGCACGACATGAAAGCTGCAGACATCAACACAGAGTTCTGGAAGAGCCTGGCAGCCATACGATCCAAATGGAGAGAAACCCTGACCAAACACCTCAAGTCAGGCGAGGAGAAGCTGACACAAGTTGACATGGAAAGGGGGGCCCACAGAAAGCAACGTGACAACTCCAACAGACCAAGGACAGAACACACATGTGACCTCTGCAACAGAGATTGTCACTGTTGCATCGACCTCTACAGTCACATACATTGATGCTCCAGCCAAGCAGACAACTAGGATGCTAACCATGGTCAACCCTGACTGATGGAGGCCTACGCATAAACTAAATAGTTTTTTTTACCTAATCAGAAGATCTTTAGTTTAATTTTTCTCACCAAATCAGAAGATAAATCTTTTATTCTTTCTTTTTTTTTTACCAAATCAGAAGTTTAATCCTTGTAATCAATCAGAAAATAGAGATATTGCTATCCAGTCAAAGACAACTCCTTGTAGATGAAGGAGAGAGTTGAAGCAAGAACAATGATGAGAACACCATGAACTGAAAATATGTATGAAAGAAAACGGAAACAAAATGGACATATGATACTTAACAAAGAAAGAGATAATTAAAATTTCTTGGGGACATAATGAGAAAAGAGGACATGGAAAATTTGATACTCACAGGACAGATTGAACGCAAAAGGAACAGAGGAAAACAACACATAACCTACCTAGCAAATTTGAGTAATTAGATGGCAGAACAAGGTTTAGGAGAAATAAAAAAAAGACAAAATTTATCAAGAGCTAAAAAAATCAAGAAATTGTGGAGAGCCATGATCGCCTACATCCTGAAGGAACACAACACATAAAAGAATAAGTCTCATAAAAATTTGGATTCATTTTATTTATCAATAATCAATTGATTTTCTTTTGAAAGTATAAGTATTTAAACTGAGCTACTCAATTTCACATCATTTGCATTGGTGTCTGAAAATTTCTACTGAAATGAATATTCAGCACAATGTTGTTAATGACCTTTTCAAGGCATTGTTTTTTGTTGTTGATCATGTGATCAGCATTTAAATTCATCACACTTAGAATCCTGTATTGTAGGCCACTTAACTGCTGCCTCAATCATTTGCTTCGAACACAATCATTTTATCTTTTATTGATAATGCAGGAAGCATGGTGGATTAATGGATAGTTGCTTAGATTGAGGAATCAGAGAGTTGAGTTTGAATTCCAGTTGAGATTGTTACATTTGCTTATATACAAATACCCTTCAGAAAGGTGTGAATTCATCTCTTCTCTCCTTAAATAGCCTTGGGTGACAACCAGTCTAGGAGAAGGATAACTCTGAATTTAAAACCTCCAATGATGGGTAAGTACAACTATACCTTTGAAAACATGGTCAATCAGAGAGTGATTCCTCCAAAAGGAGTGAGAACACCCTGGAACTGGATCTGGAAAATGTAGGTAATATTGAATTCATTTTATGATGAATTTTGTTACTGACTCAGTCAACTGTCGTCTTTTTTTTTTTTTTTTCACAATCAAATTATTTGCTCTGACCTTTTTCACATCTTTTCTTCTTCCTTGTGCCACATCCCTTCAGCACAAATGCAATCAAGGCTCTCTATAACTTCCAACCCTTCACATGTATATAACGAAAGTATTTATTTTCCCATACAAAAGTCTCTATTGTACTTTATTCTCTTTATTACTGGATGTGTGTGTATGGGCATGTGGTCATGTGGTTAGAATGTTCGCTTTCTGACAATGAGACCTGGGTTCAAATCTCACCATAGTCAATTTGTCCATGACTTCTTGATGTTATCAGTCTGGATCAAGGTCAATCCCAGCATGTGGTACCTTTGGAAAGTGCCTGAAAACTATACCATGGGTTGATCCAAGCTTTGTGAGTGAAATTGGATTGATGGAAACCTTGGGAGCTGTCAGTGGTTGTGCTAGCACAAAGTCACAAGTCATCATGACCGAGGGTTTGAGTGTGCTGGCTTTGTTCAGACTGTTAATCAAACTAGATAATGTGCTCTCTCCTAGAAACTGTAACTAAGGTCTGCTCAGCATAGTTGCAGTATAAACCACAGGTGGGCTATGAGGGTGGTGAACAAACAAAAAAATGTGTCTGAGCAGGCATCTGGATGTGTGAGTAGCTTAATGTTTATTGTTGCAGAAAATGGAGTCAATAAGTCAAGTTCAAATACTGGCCTCATCCATATTTTGAGCTAGTAAAGCCTGCAGGTCTTCACAAAGACCATATTTCTTCAAACTTTGTGGATTGGTGCGACAGAATCACAAACAAAGAATGTTACCAAATATCAGAAACCACATCACTTGAGGACTTCCAACAGCAGCAACACATAAAATGGATAGCACATGTAACTTGAAGAGAAAATAATGACGCAATCAAGATGTTGACATTCCACACCACTTCAAATAAAAGGTTAGGAAGGAAACCTCCATTAATACTGGAAAATGTGATAACAACTACTGGACTTGAGAAACCTGTTTTCCTGAAAAATTATTTTAAACAAAACATTTTATAAATTTCAACCAACAGTGGGATTGACTTCTTGGCCAATGAATGCTAAATGTTCCTTATAAGGAAACAGCTAATATTACCTTTACTATTACCATTGCCTTGTGAAAGACATGAATATCAAGGAAGATGAGCCTTGAGTAGTGGCCAGTCTAGGAGTTAACCTATTCTGAATTGAAAATCACAGAGAAGGTAATAAGAAAGCACTTCACTATCTTTCTCATGAAGTTATGCAATTTGCAGATAATCAAGAAAAAAGATTTGTGGAGAGCCATGTTGACCTACATCCTGAAAAGACAAAATATATAATTCTCCCATGCAAAACATGTACATATTAACACCTCAAATCAATTAAGATCAGAAACCATGAGAGCCATACCTGGTATCGTATCAGGACATTTATTATTATTATTTTTTTTATTTCCTTGAATTTCTGTTGTATACACATTTCCTTCCAGGTTCCAACCAGAGACCTAAGGTCAGAAATTGTTTCAGGATATTTTCCACTGATCATGAAAAAAAAAAAACCCTAAGATCCCACACATTTTATATAGATAAAGCTTTTCATTACATAGATAAAGCTTTTCATTATGTGTGAGCTGTACTTGTGAGTACAATTTTTGGTATTTCTTTAAGACATGGGTTACTAGAAATCTCTTCAGTGAATCTATCAGTACCTTTTCCAATCAATCTGAAGGTTCCAAACTACAAGTGGAATTACTGATGTCCTTGTGTGCCACATTTTTGACATTTTCACTTCAAGATACTTTTATTTTGATAGTTATTTTCAAAAATACATTACGATCTTCCATGTCAATAAGAAAGCACATTCTGTTTTTCTGGTCTTTGATCATGATGTCTGGCCGATTAGCTTTGATTGTTCTGCCTGTTCGTATTGTAAAGTCCCATAAAATTGTTACAGGTCCTATCTTTTTAAGCAGATGTGGGTGATGTTTATACCAGTTTCTTGCAGTTTCCTTCCCATAAAAGTTACATATTTTCCAGTGCAGATATGTACACAATCTTGCACACCTGTGGGTACATTCATCATTCAACATATATATCAGATGCAGACAATACACTCAATAAAAAAATACAAAAAAAAAAAAAACTTGCCCATACCAATGTTGCCAGATTGGGTTAAAAGAGTGAATTTAGCTACATTTTAAAACCCAGTTTTTAAAATGACTTTCTTTTCATTAGTATCCTAAAAAATGGACACTTATACTTAGCATTTACAGTAACAACGGAAATTTCAAAGGCACATAATAAGGAAAGAGAGCTTGGAAATTTTGACACTCAAAGGACACATTGAAGGCAAGAGAAACAGAGGAAAACAACACATAACCTACTTAATGAGCTTGTGTAAACAGATGGCAGAACATGGTTTAGGAAAAATAACAAAAAGACAAAATTTATTAAATGCTACAAAGGATAGGAAATTGTGGAGAGCCATGATCTCTTACATTCTGAAAGGACACAGAATATAGAAGAAGTCTTATAAAAATTTGGATTCATCTTTATTTTTCAATAATCAATTGATTTTCTTTTGAAATTACAAGTATTTAAACTGATCTACTCAATTTAACATCTTTTGCATTGGTGTAGCAAAAAGACAAGATTTATTAAGTGCTACAAAGGACAGGAAATTATGGAGAGCCATGATTACCAACACCCTGAAGGAACATGGCACATAGAAGATTAATCCAACAATGCTGTCAGGTGTCAGGTTAACTCATTTTTATAGCAAAATTCCTCGTGAATTTATGCTCTATTCTATGTCAAAAGTAAAAAAATGAACAAGGAAAAATAAAACAAAAAATGGTTTATATTTTTACCAGCATCATGTTTGTTTGAAAGTAGTAAAACTGAAGAAAATTTCATAGTGGACTTTATATGCCATTTTGTTTATATTTCTCTGGGATTTGGGATTTTTTTTTTTTTTCATATCTTTATAAAACCATTGCAACTGCACATTTAACAGTGGATGGGAATTGTTGTCTGCATAACATAAAATGGGGGCTGGTGATAAACAGTCAACCTCTTTTTCTTTGCTTTACTTTCTCCTTTTCTATCTTAACCTATCTTTTCTTTCTATATATATATATATATCTTCATCTTACTCTTCTTCTTTTTATACTCAATGACATGATCCTCTTCTATATTCTCCAAAATCTTATCCTTTTTCTCTCTCTCCCTTACTCTTTGACTCTCCTTCTCTCTCCTCTTTCTATCTCTCTCTCTCTTTCTCTTCCCTTCTCTTTCACTCCTCCTTTTTCTCCCACTTTACTCTTTCTCTTCTTTTTTTTCTGTCCATTTCTATTTTTTTTTAAAGATTTCATTATTTTATCTTCTTACAAAGTTAGTATTTTGTAAATTTCTTTCTTTCTATTTATTGATTGTTACTGTTCCTCTCTCTTTCAACTGTTCTGCTTCTCTTTCTATCACTCACACACACACATATTATCTCTCTCTCTCTCTCTCTCTCTCTCTCTCTCTCTTTTGCTTACATGCATGCACACACATTTTTTATTCTTCTTTTCTTACTTTATTTATCCTCTTTCCTCTTTTTTCTTCTGCCTCTATCTATGTCCTTTTCCCTTTCTTTCCAACTCTCACCCTCCCTCTGCTGTCACCTTCAGTTTCCATTTCTTTCTCTCTCCCCTTCTCTTTTTCCTATTATTCTCTACATCTTTCTCTTTCTGTTTCTTTTTTCTCTCCTTCCCTTTCTCTTTTTCTCAACATTACTCTTCTCTTTCTTAGAACATCTTTCTACTTCTACCTACCATTTTTATTGCCTGTCACAATCTCATTGTCTTCCCTTTTTCTATCAATCACTTTATTTATCTTCTTTTCTTTCTTCTCCTTCTTTCTCTTCTGTCTTCTCCATTCTTTCTCTCTGCTCATCCCTCTCTTTTCCTTCCTCAATCCATACCCCATACTTATTTATCTTTATCTATGTTAAGCAATGTCTTCACATCTGTCTGTAGCCATGGCAACTGCTGCTAAGTACTCACCTGATTAAAAATGGCCACCTAGCAGACGATGACACCATTAAGTGTAACTGCATTTAATTGTAAACGAAGCAGACATTATTTTAATTTGAAATGCAGGCAAAATAATTATTATAACTTGTGTATTGTTGGTGAGACATCTTTTACTATTTGTCTGTCTCAGAGTCTGGATGGTGACTGACAGTGTCTCAGGACAAAAGATAAACCCACTTAGTCATGTATGTGGTTGAGATCAGCCAAACAAATCAAGTGAATGGAAGACAGATAAACGATGCAATATATCTCAGACTGGAGCTCATTGGTAGTCAGACACAATTACAACAAGCCACCAAACCAGAGAATGGAATGTTAATGCTGGAATAAAAATCAATCAGAAATGATCAATACTTTTTTCTCTTGCATTTTTGTTTTACTTTTCTTTTTTTCTCCTTCTCAATTTTCTGTCTTTTTCCTTTTTTTTATCTCATTCTCTAATCGCTGTTTTTTTCCTTCTTTTTTTCTTTTTCCAATCCTTGTGTTTTCTTTTTCTTCTTTCTCCTATCTTTCTTTTTCTTCTTTTTCTTTTTTTCTCCACTCCTTGTCTTTTCTTCTTTTTCCTATCTTTCTTTTTCTTCTTTTTCTTTTTTTCTCCAATCCTTGTCTTTTCTTCTTTTTCTTCTTTCTCCTATCTTTCTTTTTCTTCTTTTTCTTTTCTCCAGTCTCTGTTTTTCTCTTCTTTTCTCTAGTTTCTGTTTTTATCTTTTTTTCTTGGTTTTTGTTTTTCTATTCATAAAAACATTGCAAAAACAAAGTAAAAATGACTATTTAAAAATTGAACACATAACATTCCAACTCCTTCTTTCTTTTTCTTTCTTTCTTTTTCTTTCTTTCTTTTTTTTTCTTTCTTTCTTTCTTTCTTTCTTTCTTTATTCCTTTCTTTCTTACTTTCTTATCTTCTTTATATTTCATTCCTTTTTCTTTCTCTCATCATCTTCTGTCACTTTAATATTTTTATTTTCTGTTGTATCTTTATTTTTGCTATTTCTAGCTTTTCTCTTTCCTTGTCTCTCCTTTTGCTTTCCCTCCAATTGTCTGTGTTTATTCCATTGTTTTTCACACACACACATACATATATATATATATATATATATATATAAACACTATGTTAGCTTCCTCCTCATTATTCTCTTAGCATGGAGCCATGTTAGATACCTAGACCCGCAAGGTATTCCTAGTGAGTTCAGTTGTCACTGGGTGGTCCACAATTGTAGTCTTGTACTAGACAAGTTTATACTTAATAAATAGCCTTCTTTTCTTTCTTTCTTTTTTTTAAAAAATTTCTCCCTTTCTCAATTCTGCATTTCCTCTTTTTGGGAGTTTCTTCTGTTTCTCTTCTTTTTTTTTTACTCTTTTTCTATCTTTTTCTGTACTTCACCCTTCATCTCTTTTTCTGTTTTTTTCCCTTTTCCCTTGTTTTTCTTTCCCAATTCTCATTCTCTCTCCCCCTCTCTCACTCTCTCTCTCTCTATATATATGTTTATATATTTTCATATATTTTTTGTATTTCATTCTACATCTCTATTTTCTGTTTTCTCATATTTCCCTCTTTTTCTCTCTCTCTCTCTCTCTCTCTCTCTCCTTTTTCTATCATTTTCTCTATTTCATCCTTTATCAGTTTTCCTCTCCTTCTCTTACTTGTCTTTCTTCCTTTTTATATCTTTTTTCTCAATTTCACTCGTCATCTCTTTTTTTTCTGTTTATCTCTTCCCTGCTTTCTATCTTTTCCTCTCTTTTTCTCTTTTTCCTGTCCTTCTCGCACACTTTCTCTATTTCTGTTTTATTTTTCAGCTCTCCAAATTTTATTTGTCTGTTTTCTTTTCATTTCATCTCTCACTCTCCCCTACTCCTTTACTATTTTTCTTTCCATTTCCTTCTCTTTTTTCTCCTTCTTTTCTTCTTTTTTCTAATCCTAACTTTCTATTCTCCTTTCTCTTCACGATATGAATCACTTGCCTTCTTCTTCTCCCTCTTCCCTTTTTCTCTTTCTTTATTCTCTTTTCATTGCTTTTTTCATTTCCTTTTCACGTGATTTCATCTTCATGTCATTCATTCAATGTACTCTGTGATTCTGTCTGAAAAATAGTTAACCATACACCTTACTTTCAATGCCACAAGATACAGTTGTCTCTTTACCAATATTGGTCAGTAAAAAAATTATATCTTAAGATTAATCATCTAGACTAGCTTCAATCAAACAAGATTATTCTTAAATCAGCTTATATTATATCATGAACAGTAATAATTACTACATCTGTCCTATAATATTTGTTACATTTAGCATATAAAATATGTATGCAAATCTAGCAATTATTTTGGGACAGAGGTAGTATTATACATTGGATTGAATTTAGCTTGAGTAAATGGGTGATGGAACAAGGTTCAGGAGAGTTAACAAAAAGACAAAATTTATTAACAGCTACAAAGGACAGGAAATTATGGAGAACCCTGATCACCAACATTCTGGAGATATATAGCACATAGAAGAAGAATATTTTAATATTTTGATAGACAACTTCCATCTGGTTTTAAGTAAGTAATTAACATATAAGTTTTAGATGACATTTTTCTTTGGGAGATAAACGATCGTGGTTCTCTATACCTTCCTTTAATATATCACCATGAATTCTTGGAAAAAATAGTGGTTTTCTGTTCCCTTCTCCATGGTTTTGAATTCAGAGCAGTCCTTCTTTTAGACTTTCTACCCAAGGCTAGAGAGCCCAGTCTACTATGCTATTTAATCCGTAACTGGAAGAAGAGATGAATTTATGCCTTTCACAAGAACATTCATATGGGATTGCTTGCTGATTCTGAATTCCATGCTGATACTCATTATGCCACCTGCACATCCATATTTTGTAGGTGTTGAACAAATACAAATGTGCCTGAACAGGTTTCTGCAACAGAGATTGGCTAGCTATCCTAGCTCAAAAATGAGTAGCCATTCTCACCAATTTACAGTTGAATTGGCTAGATGTAACCATAATTTCTATGCTAACAATTTCTTTTCTAGCACTTCTCACTTGTGGAACTCTCTTCCAGCTCCATGCTTTCCAGCCAACTTTGATCTTCAAAAATTTAATGCAATGCCAAACATTTTCTGCTGTCTTCTTGATTACTCTTCTATTGTTCATGCTCCTCCATAATGTTTTGTGTTCTCAATTTATTTTATATCAAGTAACACCCTTGTGTTTTAGTGGCTTTCTTGCCTTGCTTGGGAGGAATTTGATTAATATATATATATATATATATATATATATATATATATATATATATATATATATATAAGCATTGTGAGCACAGAGATGAAACAGACTGTCATCATTCCATGTTGATCTATGTGGACACACTGCTTATATTTACATATGCTCTAGCTGGGATATTGAGCACTTTTATCCCCTTAATATTGCATACCTTAAAACAATATCTAGTACAGGGAATGATGTACTCAGACCTTCCCTGCATACAGTACTACCTACAATTATTGCAAGAAAGTTCCAAAGCCAAGCTTGAAACCAAAAGACTTGGATACCATGAGTTCTGGAAAATCTCAAATGAAATTGTTAATATAGACAAAGTGTCAGTGCTTGCTATTGTTGCATAGTTCCCTCATGCCAGGAAGTCTTGGTCACTGTGCTGATTTGATAATAATATGTATCCTGTCATCTTCTCCTGGCCAGGTGGTGAAATGCTTTTGGGTCCAGAGATGAAATACAACAAAGATAATTTTAACCTAGGTATTTTATTAATACTGTTGAGGTGTACATTTCTAGTTATCCAGTGGGGTTGCTCTCACTCCACTGGGGAGATGTTTCAGACGCAAAAGAAAACACATCTACATTGTTCGATGTTTAAGAAACAAGTCACTGATAACCCTTTCTCTGTCTATCATTCTCACACTGGCTCAGCCAATCAAAATTGACTTCCTTGTTTTGTCTTCCATCTGACCTCAAAGGTCAACCTCAGGAAGTTAGAGCAGTGATACACTTCCTCCTAAAAATAATAGTCTGCTAAACTATTATTTAACACTACTGTAAATGATCCTGGGGTTATTTCATCCTTGTCTGATAGGGCAAAGCTCTTTACAATGCAATTTGCCCCTAACTCCACATTAGAGGACCAGTGTCATCCCCTTCCTGACTTCTCCCCTCTCATGGAGCACAAACTTTGTATTATCTCTGGCATGTCTCTGGGAAGTCTCCAGACTTATAAAAAAACCCCCAAAAAACTTGATTCTAAGAAGGCTACTAATCCCAGTGGTTATTCTTAAGAACATTAGCCCAGAGTTATCGCCAATCTTAGCAAAATTGTTTCACTGCTGCCTGAAGGAGAAATCCTTCCCAAATCTATGGAAAATGTCAAGTGTATATATCATGTTTTCAAGAATGTGGGTGAACACCCATCTCCATCACAATATTGAACCATCAGCCTCCTTAATGACATCAATAGATTCCTTAAGGCTAACAACAATAAGAAGGTTGTTGATCACATCAAAAGGAACCTCCTGAGTGACAAACAATATGGATTTTGATCTGTTAGATTCACTGCTTATATCCTGTCATTGTGCACAGTATTGGTGATGCATTAAAAATAAATACACCATGAGGATGATAAATATATTGAAGGCCCTTAACAAAGTGTGGCATAAGGGGTTGCTACACAAACTCTCCAGCTATAGAAGCACTAGAAGAGTTTGTGAATAGCCAGTCCTCCAAGGCATATGAGATCAATGCAGATATCTCCCAAGGCTCGCTTCTTGGTCCTAACCTCTTTCTATTTGATGTTAATGATCTGCCTAATATATATATACCAATATATTTAGTGAATATATATGCAAGTGAAACAACAGTATATGGTTGCACCCCACCCCAAATCTAGATGCTCTGAGCCAGGCAGCTGATCTCTCCTCTGATCTAGCTCTGACAGCTCACTGGAAGAAAAACTAGCTGGTCATATTCAATACTTCAAAAATGAATTTAGCAATGTTCTATCATCACCAAGCAGACCCTGAATTTTTGACTATCATGATGAATGGGTTTTCTCTCAGTGAGGCCCCTTCCTTTGAAAGCCTGTTGGTACTTAAGCTCACCCCAAGCCTCAAGGGAAACTTTTATATACAATCGATTACTAAAGGTGTAGGAAAAATGATCAGTTCCCTGTACCACTCCTGACACTTCCTGCTATGCTCTACCTTTATGAAATCCCAATCTGACCAAAGATAGGCCCTTGATATAACGATAAACTACATCCAGCAGCAAGTCCTCTGATCAGGTTTTGAGGAGCATGGAACCACCTCAATTGCTGTTGTTCCCAGGTCCACCCAAAACTGGGGTGGTAGCACCTGTTAGGGTCACAGCTATGGGTAAACAGTTAACCCCAAAACTGGGGTCAAAACACTAGGAAAGTGTAAAAATGGATTTTATAGTAAAAATGCCAGCAATACATTCTTGAAATAAAAATTATTACCAGCAATACATTTTTGGAAAGAAAAAATATTACCAGCAATAAAAATCTTGTCAGCATTAAATAACCCATGAGGTTGATATGCCGTGAAATAAAACAAAAACAAACCAAACCACAGACAAAACATTGCAAGCTTCGTGCTACTCTATCAGTATTTCCTTGAAAAAATATTCTGCTGTGCTACATTCCTAGGTTCTACCATCTCTAAACCCCACAGCTAAACTCCATCATGATGTGTACATTGAGGCGAATCATCTTCATTCCCTTCTTATTCCATTAGTAAGAAGTTCCATTCTTTCTTTGAAACAACTCCCAAGTATTTGCATTCTGACTACTACAATGTTAACCTGTTGAAGTCTAGGGTAACAATTATCTTTCCCACATATCCTCATGAACTGCATCTCTTAACTCTTACTTGTACCACTCATAGAAGAATTCAGTAAACCTTTACCATGAATGGCTCTTAGGCATTCTATAGGGTAAACATTAATATATATATATATATATATATATATATATATATATATATATATATATATATATATATATATATATAAAAAGGCTCAAACACTAATATTCCATGGTTATAATTTATTACATTGGATGCCCCTTAAGAAACTGTGTTCTTGATCAAACCAAACTCATAAATAATTACATTGGTCATACTACGACATGCCTATCTAGATGACTTAAGTTACACCTACTAAACCACAGCTCAATTAGGACTCATTTAAACACACACAAAAACCTACTGAAATTTATCTAAAACACACTGGTAGAAAATACAAGTAATAGCCTCATCCAGATGTAAAAATGGATTAAAAATAATGGAAGACCTAATAATAAAAAAGGAAAAATCAACAGTCAATAACATTAACAATGAGCATGGCCACAATGTGCTGACCATGTTCAGAAAATAAAACATTCCTATAACTTTGGATATATAAAAAAATTGATAATGGCTAAAAGAATAGCTGAAAGCACTCAGATATGCAGAAGTTTTGGACAGTTTTTATTTGCTTTGTGTCCAAAAAAGAAAACACTTTGTACAAACACAAGAAAAATGAAATAAAAAGCTTAATCACAGTACCTTGTCAGTTGTCTTTGACAAAATATGGATTGCTGCTTAAATGCAGAGTATATATATATATATATATATATATATATATATATATATATATATATATATATATATATATATATATATTTATTTACACACATATATATATTTATATATATATATATATTTATATATATATTATGAATACAAATTACATTTAACAAGAAAATATTATAATAATAATTAAATCATCAATAATAAATAATGAGTAAAATGTTAACAATAAACATAAAATGTCTACAAATAACCACATTTTGATCCACAATTATTTCTGCTCAATAGTCTCTAGAATAATTTAAAGTATAACTGGTGCTGCCTACCCAATAACTGTCAGGATGATACAATAGAACTTGCTACCCAGTAGGGCAGATTGATTTTTCACTCTTTTAGAAAATCAACATTGAATTCACTGTGAAAGCTGGGATTTGTTAAGTAGTCACGCCAAAAAT